AAAAAAACACTTCTTTTTTTTCTTTATTTTATTACTGATTTTAAGCTACTGAAAATGATTTTAAAAAATCAAAGCGACCAATGTTGAGTGTTCTCTCACAAATGCAAAATATGGTAAATAATAGAAAGTGATACTCAAAAGAAGAAAAATGCAGGTCTCAATTATGCTGGGAATATACAAGTAATCTTGTCACTTCCAGTGATGGCTGTCCGGCATTGTCTTCGTATCTTTAAATTGTTGTACAGCTTCACGAATACGCGCCAGTGCTAATCTTGATAAACCTTTTTTCTTTTGTCCAGTGCGGACTGATGATGATTGTATTTGTGGGTTAAGATCATTCATAGTCAGAGAAGGAGCTGTGCTTGACTTATATTCAAAGCTAAAAATTTATAATGATGGTCTCTAGAACCATCACCCTAGAGACGATGAAGAACAAATAGAAAGCGAAAAGTTTTTACACAAAAAAATGCTTTGTTTTTGTGATTGTAAGTATGACCATGAGAGTGTTTGAGAGAACTCTGCCTGCTGTCCTAATATTTTTCGATAAAAAACTATATTTTTATTGATAACTCAACATGTTCTGCAACTCTGGCGTTGAAACAGTGCACTGAAACAACTTTTGATTCTTGTCATCCTGAACATACTCCGGAGTAAAAGTGAAACGCTTTTTTTCTTGAAAGTTTTGAAAAACACAATGCGTTCGATTTTACGCTATTTTCAAATATCATATTGGTGTTCAGAAAAAAATGGAATTATAGCAAAAAGAAAATGATTTTATTATAAAATCTTCCGACAGAGACCGAAACTGGTCAGAAAAGTTTGATCTAAACTCGAATTGGTGCGAAATTTTTTTGACCCGACCCGATTTTTCTTCGACCCAACCGTATCCCAAAACTTTTTTTCTCCTCTCCAATCAACTCGAAATCGAAAACTTTTAAAATTTCTTGAAGCGAACGGCATTCAGTTTTATCTAATCAGAAATTTGTTTAATAGGATTACCTTTTTGAATATCTAAATCAGGCTGTGCTCAAATGAGTCAGCTCTTGCGTGTTACACAGTCCATCTTAACTGCATAATGCACGATCTAACTGTTGAGATCCGATAACTCAAAACCATAACTTTATTAGATAAGCAATTGCCAAGTTCATCAAGTACTTAGAGAGAAGAACACAACAGGTGCTTACCAGATGCCTAGCCACTGCGTGATGCTCTTGTAGATAATTTGCTAATACTTATCATTACTTGCGCTTTTACTTTCTGAAGTACTTCTCAAGCTAACCAAGTACTTGTATTCTTTAAGACAGACTTCGCCAGTCGATCGAGTATCTTGCCAAAGACCAGTCACGAGTGAAAAATTGATATATACTTTTTATTTCATATTCGAATTCTACTATTAGAACTGGGGCTATGAAAAATACGAAAAAACTTTCTGACTGAGTTATAAAATTTACAGAATGAGCACCATCATCGGTTTGCGAAAAGTAGCATCTCTAACAGTTCATCTATAACTCCGTCATTTTTTGTCCGTTCTGTTTGAGCAACATCTTATTCGAAAGCCTGATAAAAAGTAAACAAAATCACATGGTTCCTAATTTTTTCTGAAATAGGAAGTGACTGCTTAAAACGCATATCAATTGAAGAATTGGGATTTTGAAAGGTCAAAGCTGTCGAGAAAATGTCACTTTTGACCCTTCCAACAGAATTTTCTTAACAATTCGAAGGTCACATGCGATAAAGAATTAATTTTCCACAAACTGATTGCAAAAACTTTATTTTAAAAGTGATGCAAATCTTTCGAAACTTGAAAACAAGATGGCCGACCAACCACAAGTTTTCAGTTTTCTGAGATGAACTAGAAGAAAATAATACAATCGAGCGAAACTTTTATCACCGATACTTCAGACCTCATCTCAGGTTCTGAATCCTATTAACGTTTTCCATTCAACTTTGGGCGTTAAAAGGTTTTTCAAATACAAAAACGATTTCTTTTATGTAGGATTTTTAGCATTTTCGAATGTCTCGAGAAAAAAAGCAAATTTTCAGAAAGAGAAATTAAAAACTTGGAATAGAGTCTGAAGTATCTGCAGTGAAAATTCTAGTTCGACCAGACATATACTTCCTCGATTCTCAAGAGGATCAGAAAAATGCGATATCCTTAAACCGGAATAGTAAAGTAGTTTATAAGAAATCCTGAAACTAATTATTATATCTTGTATTGAATGTTTTATTGGTATGACGACTCTTGATAAATTCACATCAACGAAAGTGGAAAGAAAAACAGCAACGAAAAAATCAAGCATACATCACACTAAATACAAAAGAAAATGAATTACACCATCTCGAACAGTTATACTGCACTATTAACATGAGAAAAACGTAAAATACAATGTAGTACAATCAAAAGAAAATTGCTTGAGATTGTACAATAGCATACATGTGTCTGAAAATAATAATCAAAAAATAGAGTTTCCACATACGAGAATGAAAAAAGATCAATATTTGCTCAAATGAACCACATGTCATTAGCAATATTTTGATGTAATACCATTAGTTTTGTTTTTATGCCATCCAGCGACATATTATCGACACTCTCATCACTAAACAAGGAAGATAAAACATAGAAGCTTAGAAAATAGAGTTGGAATCTTTAGCTTCTTTACGCAGTACAGGAGAGTGTGGAATGTGAAATCAGAGAAAAAGTTCTGCCATTTTGTTTCTGACAAACTCGAAAAGATGTCTGTAAATTCGAAAAGCACACTGATTTTTCTGTTTACTTATTGTCAATCTTGCACACTTATCGAAAGAAAGCTTACTCATCAGTATTGGAGTCATCTTCAAAGTCGAATGCTCGACTTTGTTTTGCAGCCAAATGTGCATAATGTACTGGTGTAGGAATACTAACAGATTTTGAACAGCGAGCATCAGTATGACATAACTAGAAAGAAGACGTTTAATAAAGTATGTTCCAATAAAGCAATGTGTCTTTCACACTCATACCCAAAAAGTAAGTTGTTGAATTTCATCAGACGTAAAACCGATTTCATCATGCAGCACATGATACAGTGCTGGTCTCGACGTTCCCTTACTTTAAAATTTAAACAGATAATTTATCAATAGTAGAGAAATCATAAACTACCTTATAATGAGTACTTACATTGCCGCATGTGAATTGAGATAAAAATTAAATTGACTGGGATGTGTTATTTCTGTATCAATAACTGTACCAGCCTGAACATTTTTTGTTTGTTTATCCTTATAAATAAAAAAACGTGTGTTATGTCGTTTTTTAACAACAATAAATGTTAATTTTGGTGTTGGTATCTGACCATAAACAACTAGAACAAATATGAAAGCAGTAAAAAGAATAGTGTAGCGTAAAATACGATTACATACTTTTACACGCATCCTTTATGCTTTTTACTTCATTATCCAACACTTTTTGAAATTGTCCATCGTCAACACCTACAAAAGAAAAGAAATTTGCAAACGAATTCAAATTAAAGAGGAAAGCATACCATCACGATAAAACACAATTTTCGTTGGTAATCGATTATTACATGAACTTTGAAAAACACACAATAAATCAACCACCATTTTTTCCAATTCTTTAATAATTTCTAGTGAACGTAGACTAAGATTCGGATATTCTGTTAAAAGTAATTTTTTTAATGTTAATTTTTATATAGCAACAAAATTAACCTACGTTCACATAACCGAGCAGCATACAATGAGCCAGTCGTATCACGACTAGCAACAACAGCAGCAATTGATGGTTTTTCTCTCGAACACGTTGTATGCGTTACCTGAAATAATATTTGAGAAAAATCTAGAACGAATGAAGTCCAAGTTATCACACTTACATCAGCTCCCATAAACATAAATAAGTCTTCTTTTTGTGGACATTGTAACGTTGATTTTAACTTAACAACACCATTGATGCAACCCAATTTTCCATTAATTTTCTGTGATAAATTCTCAACGTACATTCTCAGTTTACCCGAATGTCCTTGAATTGCCGAGAATGATGCACACTGTGTTACAACGCCCAAGCGTTGATTGCCTAATTGTTTTACATACTCATAGACTTCTTCTTTTGTATCATTTAAAATAATCAATGTCAGTTGCCACTTTTGTTCACTTGCCCGTCGCAGTTCTTTTTCAATTTCTGTTCGTGTTGCTGGTTTTGAGGCTTGGTATGGTTTATTATGCAATTGTATACCAAAACGAGTGAGAACCTAAAAAAAATAAAATAAACTAGAAAATAAGAATAAGAAAACAATTCACACTGTACTTTTGTTAACTCATATAAAAACTCGTTTAAAACATTAATCACGACTTCATTTGGCTTTTCATCAGCAAAATACAAGACTGCCCATTTTTGAATATCGGGTACTGTATAAAAGTGGTTACAAATCGTCCATTTACTGATACTGACATGTTCCACAATGTCCTCTTGTTGCTGTGTGCGATATATTACTTCGGGCGGTGGTAAAATACGAGCTAACAGAAAGAAGATACTTTAATGGTACTTAAACGGCGAAAATTAATATTATACCGTTGATTTCCATCATTTCTTCTGTATCAACAACAATATTTAAATCTTTTAAATATGGATCTGATTGAAACTGACGGTCATGAACATAACGCATTATTTGTTGGTATCTCGCATCGGGTCCAACACTCGACATTGTTGTAACAAGTTTTCGTTGAACATTATCTAATGGTCTGAAACATCGTTGCCATTCCACGAGCTACAACACAAGAAGTAAAAACGAATTTAATTTGGATAAAATATATCTTTACTTACTTTAACTATCTCCATTGGTAACCAATTCGCTTGGTTTCTTGAGCCGACCATTCCTAGGAAAAACCGCAAATGACGAGAAAAATAAAGGCTAAAACGAGAAGAACTCACCATTGATACATGGTAAATCTGGATATTTTAATTTTCTTTTATCTACAATATACAAATAAATAAGTTTTGTGTGACCTAATAATTTTATTCATTTACATTTTTTAGCAAAATAGTCAGCAACTGTCATTTCTTCGCCTAGTGTACCACTTTCATCATCATTGCCAACGTTAAATTTAATTTTAGATGCTGGACGACCAAATTCTCGAATTCGATAACGTATATTTCGACCGGTATGGAACGTTTCAACTAGACAATAACGCCAAAAACATCTTTTAAATTCAAAGAATACTAGATTAACCACACTTACTTAACAAATCTTTCGCAATGAATCTCAAAGCTCTGAGTTCATAATCATTCAAACCTACTGTTATATCTTTTCGAAGATATTTTGAAGCAAATTCAACAAAATTCAATGGTAAATAAAAACATGTAAACGCTATATTCATATTCAGTGTTAGTCCACTTTCCGTTAAATATAGTGCTTGATTAAAGCCAGTACCCATACCACGCCCATCTCCTGCAATCAAAGCAATACATTTTAAGCACAAAACTTTTCCCACCATATCCTCTATATATAGTTTTGGTGAAGGATGAGCTTTTTTTCTCACTTATTTCTAACAAGAATATAATGTTTCACAAAGACGAATGATTATCCGCATGATTCTGTGCATAACATAAGAACAAGATGCGACGCATGCTAGTTTACAATAGTTATAAAAACGGAGCTTCTTCGATACCTTTCCCGTCTTTCCCCAACGATAGAAAATATATATATCAAACCCGACCTAAATCGTGTAGTTTTTGTTCTCGATCATAAAATTGATTACGGATACAAACCAAATCATTTCGAGCACGTTGTCTGAATAAGGTTTCTAGATAATACAAATACTATTTCAGAACATTGCTCAGCGCCAATACCTCTGAAAACTAAGAAGTTAACTCACCAATTATTTGGATCGCATTACGTGGTCGTGTACCTGTTTTCTTTTCAATAAAATCAAAAATATCACGAATATTTTCTTGTCCCACTAAGTTATTGATTGTTCATTGAAAACTTTTATCTTCATCATTATTTTTGATTGTTATCTGGAATGGTTTTGTGAAGCATGCTAAATTTGCACGGGTATACAGATTTTCACCTTCATCGTACCTAAAAGAGAACACAAAATGAAAACAAACAATGAAACTACATTGCAATGAACAAAAGTATACCAAACGACGGGAAATTTTTCACGTTTTGCAATACGCTGTAATGTTTCCCAGCGTTCATCTTTATTGGCTAAATGTAATGATTTATCGCGACCACTCATTTGTATATCAATGTCATATTGATTAACAAAAGTACTATCAACTGTTACTTTAAATTGGTTGACGAAAACTTTAATTGGTTGACCAATTTTACCATACTCTTGTGGCCGTGTTGCAGGTGTTAGAAAATTTGATTCTGGTACAACTGAATGTAATACTCTACGACGAACAAATGGCTGATGTGATTGAGAACGTTGCCCTTGTTCTTTTTTGCTCGTTGTCGGTTCTGACATTAATGTTGCATTACTCTTTGACTCAGCTAACGATGGAAATGCACTCACTGATCGTTCGATATGACTGATATCAACGTCATTTGCCTGCGCGCCCGCTGATTGATCAGCTCTTGCTATGTGAAACAAACAGAAAATGTTTCCACAAAGTGGAACAAAAACGCAAGATAAGGTACAGTGAAGTCATTCCAGGTGAAAGTCTTCTTGTAGAGCTTCCTTGTTTCGTCCTTGTATTGACAGTGAAGGCTGACGTTTGTCTACCAGATGTTTGTGGACACTTCGCGAGAAAATAATATATTTACCTAATCGGTTACACGAACTAGACATAAAACTTTCTGGTATTGTAGAAATATTATATTCAAAATCTGAAAACGAAAATAATAAAAAGCAATAACCAATTATGTTTATTTACAGATTTATATGTCTAAAAACTAAAATGTTATTCTATTTAAGAAATAGAGTTTTATTATCATCTAGAACAATAGAGGATGTATATTCAAAGAAATTCTAAAATATAGACTCACCGAGATGTAAGAGTGACGCTATTTATATATATCAAGAAGAAACGTGACTAAGTAATAAGTAGCTGTGCATGTAAAATAATGAAAAGCAATAATCAGATTTTCAATTCTAATTATTTTGAGCTAATGCAAGCATACAAGATTCACTAATACATAGGAATGTAAGACGCTACCAAATAATCCTTGTTAACTACAATTGTTTATAATTAGAGCATCAAAGTTTATGGATCTCCTAGATGAGCACCTGGGATGCACACTCCATAACCTGAATTCTCACTGTACGGTAAATAACTTACGATTTTACCGTACAGTGAGAAACAACAACGAACGCTTTTAACAAAAATTCAACGTCTACTCATACTAGATGATATGATTTATATTGACTACACTAAAGTATTACTGTGCGTATTTGTACACTAGTGACTATGGATTTATTTCAGCTCTCAAAAGGGTTTTTCCTTTCAACCATTATTGCCGATGTGTTTCAATAAAAACACGAAAGAATTGAAACCGAAAGGAATGACAAAAAAAACATAACTGGGTTTTCTGCATAAACTGAGAGAACGAGAAAAGAACTATTGAATTACATCAACATTACTTAGACGTTGAGATTTACATATAACAGGACGATATGAGCTGTGAGAGAATCGACATCAATAGAAAGCTAAACGTGTAGAAGGCATTGAATCAAACCCAGAGTAGGACTTCGTGGTAATATTGCGATATAAAAAGCTTATCTAAAATGAGAATACATCCTATTCCGCGATGTTGATCATTCTGGCAGCCCTTCTGCACCCGGAATCAGGTCCCAGCAATTCCCGGAACTCAAGCAGCAGCCAACACAACATCACTCGACCACACCGATCTAGTTCCATCCGTTCCCGAAATTCCTCCGATGCGGAATCACAAGGAATTTCTAGGAATTCCATCAATCCTATATTTTTGTACTACAACTGTAGTACTCGAATTCCCGGAATTCGTTTGCCGCGGAATCACGAACAATTCCTGGGAATCATAAGGAATTCTGGGGATTCTCTCTTAGAATAAGTTGTATGCCATTCATCATAACAGTATAACCGTAGATACTTCAAGGAATTCTGCATTGAAGCGATTCTGGTACAGAATAAGTTGCAGAAGATACTTCAAGTAATTCCAGGATTCCTAGTAATTCCTTGTTGATTCCGCATTGAAGGAATCCGGGAATTCCCACGTGTGGTGCTCTTGTCTTGAGTAGCGATCGAGTTCCCGCAATTGCTAGGAACTAATTCTGCATATTTAAAAATATGTCACAAGAGCAAGACAGCCGACTGAAAGCAAAGGTGTAGAATCAGGTTTCGCGCGAAACTGAATATTTCGATTATTGTTTTCAACAGAATATGCTGTTTAATTAAACAAACATGTACAGGAAATTTATTCTAAGGTAAACGTGCCGAAATATTCGGTTTCGCACAAAACCAGCTTATATTCAGCTTTATATTTTGTTTTTGTGTATATTTGACATCATCTTTTGTTTCATAAGGTTGAAAGATAAGAAGTCAAGAGTATTTTCTATTTTATTGAAAGAGTGACGAAAGTCAAGGTAGAAAGCCAAAGTGTGTGCATCTACTTCTGCCATCATTCAATTGTTTGTCTTCCTTTTAATAAAATAGAAATATACATTACTTGACTTCTTATCCTACAACCTTACGAAACAAAAGATGACATCAGATATGCACAATAAAAAGATAAAAAGCTGAAATCGCGGAAAAAACCAACAACTAAAAGTGGCAATTATAATAGTTGGTATAATAGCGTATTGTTCACAGTGACAACAACTTATTTTAAATAATATCTTTATATTCTCAATACTGTCTGTTGAATTTGAAAAACTCAATACACACTCACATGTAAGTAACTAAATACGTGCACTTTTAGGAGAGCGTTGCTCAAACACAGCTGTTTAACTTGGAAAATCGATTTCATCTTTGGGTTAGATAGTACAAACACTTTTCGAACAGAGACAGTCCAACACTAACTAATTATGATGTTGTTTATATTATTTCGCAATTATAGTAAAGCAAGAGAGAAAATCTTCAATTATGCATCGGCGATCAGTAATCCTAATGTCTCTAATCCTATCAGTGGTCGTTGGAAACGTTTATACAGATATTAAGCATTGTCCAGCTGGCTCCTACTGTCCAGCAAATATGAAAACAGGTCAACCAATTCCATGCCCTGCGGGAACGTTCAGTAATGTTGGGCAGGGTGCCTGTACACCGTGTCAAAGTGGATTTCATGCAACAAAACCAGGCTCAACATACTGCACTATTTGTCCTGCAGGATATTACTGTCCTTATGCCCATCTTTCGCCATTACCATGTCCGCTAGGTAATCGATCTTATTTAGGTTATTATTAGAGGTCAACTTAATCGTTGCGTCTTTTGCTGTTTTTAGGACAGGCTAATGACCAACGTGGTCAAATATCTTGTACAAATTGTAATATCGGCTATTATACAACAGATAAGGGTTCAACT